GTAAACATTTAGCATTGATATTGGGCTCGGACGATTTAGCGGTTTATAAAATTCCCACAATTGAAGAATCGGTGTGTAAGTGGAATATAACCAATCAATCAGCATCAATCGATGATGGAAATTGGAAATTATGATTTCGCTATTAGTCCAAGTCCAGATAGTGGAGCAGCTCAACTTCCTTTGCTTTTTTAGATGAAAGGGTGGAAATGGAACATATTCCCGTGCTAGGAATCTGGTTAAGTTTAACCGAGTGCACACTCAATTGTCGCTATTTTTATTAGTGCACCTGCCTTTCATACCCCTTTCTGTCACCCACATTCACCGTATCTCCGTCCCATCTTGTAGCGTGTAGGAGCTAATATTTACTGTCACCACGAAGGCTACAACGAAATCAGCGGCACTCAAAATCCTAACTTCTTTATCAACCGTTATCGGTTGTTATCGCTTTTGATCACCCACTATCCGTGTTCCCGTCCCATCCCCTATACCACATGTGACAGCCAAGGTTCCAATGTCACCGCGAAAGCCGCAACGAAACTGGTAGTATCCACACTTTGACGCCCCTTATCAGTTCTAATCAGTTGCTACCACCTTCTTCCAATCACCCTTTTGGTCCCTGCCTCACCCCACATAATATTCATGAGTGCGAACATCTTAGGATCAACGCAAAGGGCGTTGCGAAAATGACGACGTTAGCATTCCGATGCCCTTTATCAGCCCTTATCATTTGCTATCACTTTCCTTCGCTCACCATTTGGGTCCCAGTCCTACCCTACACAATATTCATGAGTGCTAGCAAGTCCACTGCCAACGCGAACGGCGTAAGGAAGTTGGTGACATCGGCATTCTGACGCCCGTTATCAGCTTCTATCAGTACCTATCACTTTCCGTCCCATCATCAGTTGGTCACGCCCGAAACCCTTATAGTACCTGGGAGAGTCTGTTTGAGCTCGCTGGTCAACTGGGCGAACGAACGGAGTTATGAAGTCATCGTATACCATTTTCATTCCGCATGCTACTGCGCGCATTACGCGACAATCTTCAGCAAAATTGGACAACCTTTGAAATTCATGTGACACATCTTCCAAAACATCTTACTGTTAGTTTCTCAGCCACGTGACCTAATATTCTGCAAGTTGTCCAGTTTCACTAATGATGCGCGCGGTTGCGTGCGGAGCTAAACTGGTATTGATGAAAGAGGATTAAGGATTTTCAGATGAGTTGTTCAATGGGACAGCGAGCGAAATTCGAAGGGGTCAAGACGATGAGAACGATGAGTCAGTCTCAGAAAGCAAACGTGGCAATACGACTTGGGAGAATAAATTCGAATAATTCCTTTAATCCACACTCTTGCAATTATCAGTGAATTTGATAATAATAAACCTTCGTTGACGTGTCGTTTGTTCCGCATTGCTAAGATTTTACATTTTTTCGATATAATTTGAGAAGCTCATCGATGATCTAATTGCTGTTCCTTCATCACAAGCTTGAGACACGATAAGTTGAAGATATGGGATAAGGTAGTACGGGCATTAACAGGAAAGCCAACATGATAGAAGTCGGGTTTTTTTGATGACGCGTGCGAAGTTTTGAAACATTTTCCCAACCCTGCACTCAGGGGATGGCCAATAGCAAAAGAGTGTGGTGCCACTCATGACAACATCCGCGTTTCGCCCTTTACTTGAAAAAAAAGATTATTTTTGATGACCTAGTTTGTCCATCGAATATCGCATGAAAAACACAACTCTCGTTAACTGAATGCTCGCATGCAGTGCAATCTCGTATAGACATTCCATTGGTTGGCTGCAGGCTAGTCAAAGCGGGTGCCCACCGGCAGAGTGGTGGTCCCATTTCGCTGGTGCTGCGCAAATTCCCTTGCGAATAAGTCGTACCACACCCCTCAACTATAACTTTTCAAACCAGCGCTTTTGAAGTAGATACCAGAAAAGGCGATCAGGTCGATCCTGCTACTTGCAATGATGCGTATACCTCTGCCTTCGCCTTGAGCCGATAGTCTGAGAACGTTTTCCATATGTGCTGAACGGTGCTCTGAATCGAGTTACGAAAGTTTTCCCCCAACTTTATATTCGAATGAGATCGTAATGAGCTGCCTTCACAGATCTAGCTAGGTTATTACGTTAATTGTACAGTGATGTCGACTATGACTCTAAGTTTGGCTGTTGCCCACTACTGAACATGACGCTTAGATTTTACTCGCGAAGCTTCTTTGCGGAAATCTAGTATGATGCTTTTTAGGGGTTGAAATACCTTCGGAGACAGTCGTCTTACGAAATCTGATTGACAACCTCGGGAAAGGGAGCGCCCAACAGGCAGGCGCACGAGGTCATAGATCGAAAACTTGCGAAAGCACAGCCTACTGAGCTCCCAGCAAATATTCGAGCTAACTTGGTCACCTCTCTGATACGTGGTATTGCTGATCTCTCTTGTCCCTTGTGTCGGATGTTTTAGAACTCGATAACCTAAATGTTGCAAACACAGAGAGGCACCAAAAATTTATTTCAAAAGAATTCCAAAAGTTCACAAAATTCAAAAATTCCAAAAACTCAAAAGTTCCAAAAAGCAAGAAAAGTTTGAAAAAGAATTCCTTTGAAATCTTCCGCGATATTTCGGTGTATAACACCTTCTTCAGGCCTGAAATACATTGATTACAGTTGGTATAATTTGTGGTTTCCTACACCTACGGTACTCGCCGTAAAAAACGTCAAAAACACGCGAAAAACGCGAATTTCGCGTTTTTTTTCGTTTTTTCGTTATAACTCGGTTCAAAATTGAGATTTTCAAAATCTGAAAAAAGCATTGAACTCAGCTCGTCGAGTTCTATAAGAATATGCTTTTAAACTTTTGGAAAGCCCTACTTCAGATTGCGCCATGCACTCGAGCTTTGGCTCGAGAAAAAATTGTTTGAATGTGGTGCGCATATAATCCCGCTTATGCATCATGATCGTTCTTCAGAGAGATGGGTCTCAGCAGTTGCCCCAGAACGCGCCGCGTATTCAACATCGTCCATTGTATTGTGAATGGATCGATTGCTTTTTTCCAGATTTCATGGTCCCTATTCCACAGCGGCGCGTTAAATGACTTAACACGTAGTCCCTGCGCTCAACATCTCCTCCTCTCGTGTTCAAATGGAAATCATAGATCAATTCTCGGCTGGACAGTTAGCCTATCTGGTGAAATTTTCCAATGTTTGAGCGAAGGTTTTTCCGAAATCTGAGGAGGTAGCGGGGAAATTCTCTTCACAGTTGTAGAGTACGCTTACTTGTGTGTAGAAATAAGATGACATACTTGCTTGTAGACGAGCGAGGTAGACTCATGTCTGCACCTCTGAAAAACCGCGAGTTCGATCCCTGCCGAGGCTCGAAACCATGCCTTGCAAAAATTGCAAAAATGGTTCTAGTACCAGCGTCAGGCCCAGGTTGACAGGCCGGCTGATGAAGACCCCAGTCACAACAAATATGTCTAAAGTCGAAAAAGAATCAGTGATAAAGCTAGGACGTCACCCGGAAGTGGCGCGCAGAACCCCCGCCCGAGTTCTGTGGTCAGTATGCGAGGGCTACCGAGGAGTGAACGGCCTCGGCCAAAGAAGCTAGTTCGAATTGGACTGTGAACGTAGGGATCGCTAACTGGGAAGTCCCGAGAGGTTGCTGATCTGATGACGCGCAGAAATATCCAAGTCCTATGCCTTCAGGAGACGCGATGGAAAGGTGCTAAGGCCAGGGAAATCGGGGAAGGTGTCAAACTCTACTACAATGGGGAAGACACCAAGCGGAACGGTGTGGCCATAGCGGTAGCGGAGTCGCTCAAGGACTATGTCTCCGCTGTGAACAGGATCAGCGATCGGATCATGGCTGTGAGGATAGACACGAAGGAGGGGTACTGGTCAATACTGTCAGTGTACGCTCCGCAGACCGGATGCCCCGAGAGTGAGAAGGACGAGTTCTACCTAAGGCTTGACGAAGCCATCAGATCGATCCCGGAAAGCGATTACTTGACCATAGCAGGTGATCTGAATGGGCACGTCGGCAGCGACAGAAGAGGCCTGGAAAGGGTGCACGGAGGTAGAGGAATAGGAGTGAGGAACGCCGAGGGAGAGAGGGTCCTGGACCTGGCTACGGCCCACGATCTGGCAATCTGCAGCACGTTCTTCGCGAAAAGGGAGACTCAGAAGGTCACCTACAGCAGTGGAGGGAGACAGACGGAAATCGACCATGTGCTGGTAAGAAGATCATCCCTCAAAACTGTGAAGGATATCAAGGTCTTCCTGGCGAAGAACTGGCTCCTCAGCACAGGCCCCTCCTGGCAGACATAGCCATAGACCTTCCCAAGAAGACAAGGGTAAGAACCGAGAGGAGAATCCGGTGGTGGAAGTTGCACCGAGCAGAGAAGAGCGACCTCAAGCGAAGGATAATGGAAGTTGGTCTCCCAGATCCTGAGGGACCAGTGCAGCAGACTTGGGGCATGCAGCTGAGATCATCCTACGATGCGCCAAGGAGGTACTGGGCGAGACGCGAGGTGGATTCAGAGGAGACAAGGCAGCGTGGTTCTGGAACGAGGAGGTCCAGCGAGTCGTGAAACAGAAGAAGGAAGCATACAAGCGCTGGCAGAAGACCCGGAGCCCGAGGACCTCGCCACCTACAAGGAGTTGCAAGAGGCTCGCTAAGGCAGCCGTCGCCAAGGCGAAGAACACGGAAATGGACGCCTTGTACGAGAAGTTGGAGAGCAGAAACGCAGAAAAGTTCGTCTTCAGACTGGCCAAAGCCCGGCATCGGGCTACCCAAGACATTAGGGTGGTGAAGAGCGTGAAGAGCAGTAACGGTGCCATCCTGAGGAAGCCAACTGAAGTCAGGAGGAGGTGGGAGGAGTACTACAAAGCGCTCCTGAACGAGGAGTTCCCCCACAAGACAGCTC